GAAGGCAAAGATTCAGGACAAGGAGGGCATTCCTCCTGATCAGCAGCGTCTGATCTTCGCCGGCAAGCAGCTGGAGGATGGAAGGACGCTGTCTGATTACAACATTCAGAAAGAGTCTACCCTTCACTTGGTGCTGCGCCTGAGAGGTGGCATGCAGATCTTTGTGAAGACCCTCACGGGGAAGACCATCACTCTCGATGTGGAGCCGTCAGACACCATCGAGAATGTGAAGGCAAAGATTCAGGACAAGGAGGGCATTCCTCCTGATCAGCAGCGTCTGATCTTCGCTGGCAAGCAGCTGGAGGACGGAAGGACGCTGTCTGATTACAACATTCAGAAAGAGTCTACCCTTCACTTGGTGCTGCGCCTGAGAGGTGGCATGTAGATTTGAGGGACGACGGAGTGTAAGGCGATCACTCTCGATTTGGAGGTCGTAGGCAAGGTCGAACTTGTGAAGGCAAAGATCCAGCACAAAGGGCGCATTGGTCGTAACCAGCAGCATCGGACTTTCGCCGGCAAGCAGCTGGCGTATTTGAGGGTGCTGTTCGATATAAACATTTAGGAAAGTTCTACGCTTCGTTCTGTTCTGTGTCTGAGAGGTGGCATGCAGTCTTTTCGTGCAAGCTGCACCTTTGATGTGGGACTTTAATTGCTCGAGGTTTTCGGTCTACTTGAGGCTGAGTCGGTATGCACGGTCAGTGTGGATACATACAGACCGTGTGGACGGGAGTTGCGACCATGTAGACAGGTTTTTTTTTAACTTGTCGACAGTTGCAGCATATGCGGCTGCTGTTGGCGTATAGCAGGTGCGAAATATTTTGCGAGTTAACTTTATTGTAGATTTATCGTCTGTAGCTGTTTTAGAATAGGTATTGTGCTGTTTCCTACCCGCCCTATGGGCGTCCCCAACGGGTAGCTCCAATATCTGCGGTGAGCTACATTTTAGTATCTTGGCGGTTGGGCTCCCGAGGACGCAGTTTGTCGCATGGCAGCATTTCTAGGTCGGAAGGCTTGTTTACAGAGGTAGAGGCAGTTACAAGGTTTGCGTTGTATTTCGTTGAGGGAGCAGCAGAAGCCGTGTAGCTAAGGAGGTGCCGACTCAGTTTGTTAGCCTCAGTACCAAGTCTGGAAGTGCACTTCTCGATTGGCTCTCATACAAATTAGTGTGAAGTGCACTTGCGGATGACGGCTCGGCAAGCTACATGTTTGTGTATGGAGATCCGCTGCAGTGCTACGGCGGAAGGTGTTATCAGCACGCTGTGGTGCCCCTACACTGTAGTCCCGGTCCTGTTATCAGTTCCCTTGTGGCGCGACAGTCTACCGTAGCTCGATTGACAGGCAAAACTGTTCGCCCTCTTGCCTGAGGTGCAGGCAGGGGCCGTTGCGACCTCTCGCTGGAGCAATCGGTAACCGGAATACTCGTATTTTTCACCTTTCACTACTGTTTCCGAGCAAAAAAGCTCGGTTTGTCATTTCCTGAAGGGGAACTTCCGCTTAGAGACGGAAGACACCCCGGCCAGGCGCAGGTTGTCGGCCCCTTAATTCGTCGCGGGGATTGCGAGCCGACAACCGAGCGAGAAACCAAGTAAGTGAGTCTTCTCCCTCTGGTTCGGACTGAACCCGCAAGTTGGACAGCAAACAACAGTAAGTGGCTCACAGGCAAAAAGCAGTGCTGCCCATTTCCCTCGTCTCCTCGCAGCAGCTGATCAGTCAAGCCCGCCGCTGCGCCAGCTACGCCCCACTGGATATCCAGCGTCCACCTCTTCAGCTTGTGGCCCATTCGTGCTGCATTGGCGATTCGCCGTAGCTCGGGCTCGCGGCAGTGAAGTCGGGCCATCGACAAGTGATCCAGTTCCTTGCGACTCAAGACAGAAGCTACTTTGGGTCCAAACGGACGGCCTTGAAGAGGCCTGCTGATGGAAATGATCCCTCATCAGCGTTGCTGTGAGCGCGGTAAGGTGCCATTCGCTCCTCCTGCGAATGAGTTGCAGCTACGCCTAGCTGCTGCTCGCTACGCTACCGTCGAGGCACACGCTGCTTCCGCAGCAGCCGCCGCCTTCTTCAAGTCTTTGCTCGCGTCCGCGTCAGCAACAGCAGCAGCAGCTGGAGCCTCAAGCCTCGAAGACTGCCTGCTGCTGCTTCTGGTATCGTCCGCGCTTTCCGGCACGTCTGTGGCAGCATTTGCGGTTTCTGCTTCTCGGCTTTGGCGCTGCTTCTCCTCGCTTTGCAGCTCTTTGTCGTCACCATCCTCCCCAGTAACCTGTGCAGCTGAATCATCTACTGCAGCATCACCAGCCTCAGCAGCGCATGTGTCTCCTGCTGCTGCAGGTGGAGTCGATTGAGTCCTTGTAACACTTTTTCTTTGTTTTTTCCTCTTTTTGGGGGCGTGTGTGGCCCTCCATTCTTTAAGTTTGGCTTTATATTTGTTGAAGTCCGCTGCAGCTTCCTGTTCAAGTTCGGCTCTCTTCTTGGCGCTGAGGCATTTCCAGTCCTGCGAAATCGTCTGGGCAATTTCCTTGAAGCACTTGGGGTGCCGCAGCTCCGGATTCGCAGCCACGAGTTCTTTCCGTCTGCTCACGGAAAACCTCATGAAGGCCGACAGTGGCCTTTTCAGGTTCGGCTTCAGGGGTTTCCGCTTCACCTCCTTCGCCTTCTCCCGCTTCAGCCGCTTTTGCTGCTCCACCAGAGCCTGACAACCAAAGAAGACCCGCACACAACACCGGCTAAGAGTGGCAGCGCGCATTGCAGCAGTGAGTGGCAGCACGCAGTGCTGCAGCTGCTGCAGCAGCAGCAACGCAAACGCCTGCAGCAACTTTGCCAGGAGCCGCAGCTCCCAGTAAGAGGCACCTGCAGCAGCAAAGCAGCAGCAACTGGTCACGCACCTGTCGAGCCTTAAGGTCCTGCATGGAGGTAATTGTGAAGTCTTTGTACTTCCGCTGCAGCTGCTCTATCTTGCGCTTGCGGAATGCATCTGGGCAGTTTTCTTCCTGAGGGGAAAAATGGCAGATTGAATAAATCCAAAGGACAAAAATAAAGCAAAGGAGATAGAACGAACTGAAGGGAGGGCGCAATCGACAACTGATGAGGAACAAGTAAGCTCCCTTCGCTGCTGCTGCTCTTGCTGCTGCTGCCGCTGCTGCTACAGCTGCTGCTTCGGTGTTTCGGGTTCCTTACTTGTTCTTCAAAGTTGTCTTGCCAGTAGTTTTTGTCATAAGGAACGAAAATCTCTTCTCCATTGGCGATGCTGCGCGTCGCGCGCAGAAAGACTCGAGTGCGCCCCAACTCCTCGTCAAACCTGCGCAGCAGCAGCATCAGCAGCAGCAGCAGCAGCACCGCAGCAGCAGCAACGGGAAGCAGTAAAGGTGTCGGAAATGGCGAGCGCCCGCGGCAGCGATGGCGAGCAATAGAGACAAAAAGCCGAAATCGTAATAACTGCAACGAGATGAAACGGAGCTCGCCGAAATGCCGGCGTAGAAGCTCGTGCTGCTGCAGCAGGAAACAGCGCGAACGTCCTGCTGCAGCAGCAAACAGTGCGAACGCCCTGCTTCAACAGCGAACAGCACGAAATGCATGCTGCTGCAGCAAACAGCACAAAAGGCCTGCTGCAGCAGCAGACAGCACGAAAAGCCTGCTGCAGCAGCAAGCAGGACGGAAGGAGTGCTGCAGCAGCAGACATACCAGTGATAGAAGTAGGAATTGTTTCCTGGACCCCCCAGGAATTCGCTGCCGTCGTTGGCGAAGCTGGCGCCTCCGGTGCCGTAATAGGGGTCTTTGACTCCGTCGATGTAGAGAAAGCCCTTCTGAAAGTGAGAATCAATTAACTCGGTCAATTGGCGAAATTAAAATTGGAAAATGCATCAAAAAGGATAAAAGAATCTTCGTCTCAGGCAGGAGGCGCACTGTTCCTCCGCGGAAGAAGCAATTTGCAATTTGCATTTTTCGGCAACAAGCAACTGACGACCGAACAATACGCGGACAGAGACTGTGAATGGATTATCAATTAATTAATTAATTAATCGATTAACTAAGTGGTTGGCGTTTTAATTCATCAATTAACTGTTCTCAGACAAAGATGCAATATCAGCTAGGCTGCTTCATCCAAATGCACAGCTACAGGGCAAGAAGCCCCGCGCAAAAGTTATAAGAGTGGATTCTTTCTCTCATTTAGAATTAACCTTCAAAAGTATTTACCAAATCAAGACAGGCAAAGAGAAGACCAAAGAGCAATGGCAGCCCACCGGCCACTGCAGCAAACCAGACTCAGCAGCAGCTGCAGCAGCAGCAGCAGCAGCAGCAGCAGCACGTCTAACCTGGACGGCGACAATGTGCGAGGCCTTTCTTCTTTTTCTCAGCTGCTCCGCCTGTTCTCTGTCTACGAGCCAGCCAACGAATTCAGTTATGACAGCGCCCTTGGCAAAGCCCTCGGGGCGTTCGCAGAAAAGACCCAGACCTGACGAAGAATAAAGAAATAAACAGAAAATAAAAGGAGTAAATTCAATAACAAATAGCGCCACTGTTGTGAATGGGGTAGCTGCGAGGCGCGCAGCAACAAAAAACGACAGGAGAGCAGCAGCAGCAGCAGCAGCAGCAATTGCAGCAGCAGCAGCAACAGCAGCAGGTTGGTACCTGCCTTCCTGCCGAGAGTGCTTTTCTTGGTGATGACTCCTTCACATAAGTAACAAAGTGAATTCAAGAAAAGCCTAAGACCACAAAGCAGCAAGAGCAGCAGCAGCAGCAGCAGCAGCGGGACACACCACAAAGCAGCAAGAGCAGCAGCAGCAGCAGCAGCAGCAGCGGGAGCGAGTGAATTTTAGTATTTCTCGCCGCAGCTAGCGAACTGCACAGCAAGCAGCAGAAGACTGCAGCGAGACAGAAGCTGCGCAGCAGCAGCAGCTGCAGCCTTCTTTAGATGGAGCAACTAATGATCCAAATGGATCTAAACATATACATATGGCTCTAAATGGATCTGCTGCTGCTGCTGCTGCTGCTGCTGCGGTTCGGACTTCTCCCGAAAAAGAGAACAAAGAGCTTCAGACTTCTAAAGAATTCCACTTTCGATTAAAATGCTCAAAAAGGAATTTGCACAATCAAAAGAGATCAAAAATCGGAGAATTCCAAATTTTGGAAACTGGAGAAAAAGAAAATTGAATGACCTGCTTTTCTTCGTCTCCGGCGTCTGCGGGCGAAAGTCCACTGTCTTCCAGTCGGAGTCCAAATACTGCAAAGCAGCATTTTAATTATTTATTTATTTATTTATTTATTTATTTATTTATTTATTTATTTATTTGCTTATTTGCTCATTTATTTATTTATTTGCTTGTTTATTTATTTATCTATTTATTTATTTGATTAGCTTGTCGATTGATTGATTTATTCACTCATTGATGAATTAAGAGATAACAGCGAGAGAGAGTGAGAGGCAACAAAGGCCCGATAGCGGAACGGAAGTGGGAAATGGCAGCAGCAGCAAAAAGCTGCGGGCAAAAGCAGATGCTCACAATCCGCTGAAATAAATAAATAAACAAGCAAATAAATCAATTAATTAATTAATAATAATAAATAAATAAATGATAAATGAACAAATAAATATATAAATAAATAAATAAGAATTGATGAAAAATACAAATTATAAATGATAATTTGAGGAGAGGGGGAATATAAATTAATTTGTCTGATGCGGAAAACAAAGAAAGGCGAAGCCGCAAGTAAGAAGGAAACCACAGACCCTGCAGCAGCAGCAGCAGCTGCTGCTGCAGCAGCAGCTGCTGCAGCAGCTGCTGCTGCTGCTGCTGCAGCAAACAGAAATTCATGACACAGCGACAAAGATATTAAGAAAGCAATGGGGAGGCGGGGAGTTTGCACTACGGAACTGAGACGAAATAATTTAATTAATTTAATTAATTTAATTAATTTAATTAATTTAATTAATTTAATTTAAGTAAATAAAAAACGAACTTTGTTCTTTTTAATGGGCGGCCAGGAAGGCGCCTTGTTGATATCAAGCCAAGGAGTTCTGACGAATTGTCTTTTAAGACGAGCTCTTTGTTTTGCTTCCAGAGCGGACACGCTGCTGCTGCTGCTGCTGCTGCTGCTGGTGCTGCTGCTGCTGCTGCTGCTGCTGCTGGTGTAAGGGTTCCTCCTGCTGCTGCCGCGTCGGCGGCTCCCGCCGCCTTCGGGCGCTGCTGCGGCGGCTGCGGCTGACGGCGACTCGTCGCTCGTGCTGCTGCTGCTGCTGCTGTTGCTGCTGCTGCTGCTGGTTTCTTCCGCGGCAGCTTTGCGCGCTGCGTTGCTGCTGCTGCAGGTGCTGTCGCTGCCGCTGCTGCTGCTGCTGCTTGTTTCTTGCTGCTGCGGGCCTCCTACAAGCGCATGAGCTTCTTGCGCATCTTCTGCTGCTGCTGCTGCTGTGCCTGCTGCTGCTGCTTCTGTGGGTGCTACTACCTGTGCTTTGGGAGCGCCAGCTGTCGCTGCTGCAGCTGCTGCAACCTCTGCAGCAGAAGCAGCTGCTGTAGATGCTGCTGCAGCGCGTGCTGCTGCAGTGTGCTGCTGGTCTGCTCGTCGGTGCTCCTCGCCCTGCTTCTGTGTGTCGGCATCAGAGCCTCCCCCTACAGCTGCTGCTGCTGCTGCTGCTGCTGCGCTGCTGTCTTGAGCAGCAGGCTGCGGGCGAGGCGCGTTTGTGTGTTGTGCGTCTGCCATTTTGGCGGCGAGTGAATTAATAATAAAAAATAAAACAATTTAAAGAGTAATGCAGCACATGCAACCAGCAGACAGACGCAGCCCCCTTGGACGAGCGAATTGCTGCTGCTGCTGCTGCTGCGGCGGGAAAGCAGCAGCAGATTTGGGTGCAGGGAAAAGACAAAAGGGAAGCAAAGGGGAAAAAGAATTAAATTCATTTAAATGAATTCTTTGCTTCTATTTGTGTCTAACAAACGCAGCAAACAGCCCTCAACCCGACAACACCAATCACCACCCCGGTCTGCAGCTCTGCAGTGTACATCCACCTGAGCAGTGTGGCCCGAGCCCGCAGCAAAAACCGAAGCGAAATTAATTCATTTTAACAAATAAGTAAAAGTAAGTGTTTAGACGGAGAATGGCGCCTTAATTTGCCCCTCTTTGCCGCTTTTTTCCGCTGCCGCTGCGCTGCTGCTGCTGCTGCTGCTGCTGCTGCTGCTGCTGGCGCCCCGTGGGCCCCTCGGTCTACAGAGAAGAGGCCACGCGGCCAGAAGCTCGGGGGAGCCCAATGGGGGCAGCAGCAGCAGCAAAGAGCAGCAGCAGCAGTAGCAGCAGCAGCAGCAATAAAGAGCAGCGGTAGCAGCAGCAGCAGCAAATGCTTCAAATGCCTCCCGCCCACAGGGCCAGCAGCAGCAGCAGCGGCCAGCATAACATATATAGAAGCAGCATCAGAAAGACACAGCCAACGGCTGCTGTAGCCAGCCAAACAGCAGCAGCTGCAGCAGCAGCAGCAGCAGCAGCAGACACAACAGCAGCAAAAAGGGAAGCAAAATTGTTAAATGGCAGAAACGTTAAAGCAGAGCAGCGCAGCAGCCACGGCTGCAGTGTCTAGACACTCGCCAGCAGCAGCAGCAGCAGCAGCAAATTAGGCAGCAAGAGTTTTCAAAAAACACTTTTTGGATTTTAGCGAAAAGATAAAAAGCAAATAAAAGAAGTGGCCAGCAGCAGCAGCAGCCCCGGCTTGTTGCTGCTGCTAGCCCGCACAATTGCTGAAGTTTGAGAACTAAATTTCCCGCGTTGCTGCTGCTGCTGGCGCTGCTGCTGATGGCGATGCTGCTGCTGCTGCTGCTGCAGCGCCAGCAGCAGCGTCGCCACTTTTAACAGTCGCTTCGCAGCTGCGAATGCTGCAGCTGCTGCTGCAGCACTCACAGGAAAAAATGCTGCTGCAGCAGCTGCTGATGCACTGGCAGCAGCAGAACGCGCAGCCGCTGCAGCTGCAGCAAGTGCAGCAATAGCAGCAGCAGGGGTCTAGCTGTCTGCTGCAGCTGCAGCAACTGCAGCAATGGCGGCAGCAACAGAGGTCTAGCTGGCTGCTGCAGCTGCAGCAATTGCAGCAACAGCAGCAGCAGCAGCGGTCTAGCTGGATGCTGCAGCTGCATCAACTGCAGCAGCAGCAGCAGCAGCAGCAGCAGCGTCTAGCTGGGGTTTGCTGCTGCTCTACTTTTGGCCTTGAGTGCTGCTCTGTGCTTCGACATATAATCTTCTTTTAAAGACTGACGCTGCCGGCGAAGCAGCGCAGCTGCCTGCAGCAGCAGCAGCAGCAGCAGCAGCAGCAGCAGCAGCAGCAAATGCAGCAGCAGCAGCCACGCATGGAAGCAAGATCAAATGCACAAGTTAGATACGCCCTCACGCCAGGTACTGCAGCAACGACTGTAACCGCAGCAGCAGCAGCAACAGCAGCAGCAGCAGGCAGCAGCAGCAGCAGAGCAGCGGCAGCATCAACAGTAGCAGCCACGCCAGCAGCAGCAGCAGCAGCAGATCACCTCTTTGCTGCTTTGCTGCTGCATGAATCTCGGGATCTTTAAGCCTATTTCAGCAGCACAGGCAGGCAGTGATAGGCGCTGCACCCCTGTGCTGCTGCTGCTGCTGCTGCTGCTGCTGCGGCGAGCTGCGTCGGTCCTAGTGGCCTCCCCATGTGGAGCAGCAGCAGCTGCTGCTGCTGTTGCTGGCGTTGACGCTGCTTCTGCTGCTGCTGCTGGTGCAGCAGCAGAGTCGCCAAAGAGGCTCCGGGCCCACGCTAAGGGGTCTATGGCAGCAGGACCCCCCAGCTGCTGCTGCTGCTGCTGCTGCTGCTGCTGCTGCTCCTCTTCCGCCTCTGCGTCGTCCGATGCTGCTGCCTCATCTTCTGA